ATTTCTTCGGATGGCCAGATGACTGCTGAGATCTCGGCTCGCTTGGCGAAAGCTTCCCGAGCATTTGGTACATTGCGCTCATCTGTCTTTTCCAGTCGTGATCTCTCCGTCAAGACGAAGGTGCACGTATATTCGGCCGTTGTCTTGTCGACGCTGCTGTATGGTTGTGAGACCTGGGCAATTAAGGCTGTGGATGTTCGTCGTCTTGCAGCCTTTCATCACCGCTGTGTTCGTTTTCTGCTGGATATTCGCAGAGTAACACAATGGCAGGAGCACATCTCCAACAACACTCTCCTTGAACGAGCCAAGGTACAGCCGATCGAGGAGGCACTGAAAACGCGTCGACTCCGCTGGTTAGGCCATGTTGCTCGAATGGATGACTCCGTATGCCAAAGTGTATCCTCTTCGGCGAACTGGACAAGACCCGGCCAGGTCATGGGCCCCGGAAGCGGTGGTGGGACAATGTTGTGTCCGACATGAAGGACCGCCAGATAGCGGACTGGTACGACCTCGCCCAGGATCGCAGAGGATGGAGATCAGCATGCAGCACCATTCCTCCGACCGAGCCCGTCACCTTAGACTTCGTTTGCACTTGTGGAAAGCGCTATCGCCGTCGCCAGGACTTGACTCGCCATGCCCGATTCTGCTCGTGACTTGAACACTGTTGGTCCCTTCGGGACCTGCTATCATCTCCGGATGGGCATATTGTATTGTGTGTGTGTGTGTGTGTGTGTGTGCATGTACGTGTGTGTGTGTGTGTGTGTGTGTGTGTGTGTGCACGCGTGTGCTTATGTAGGAGGCACAGCTACGTTATAATAAATTGCGTGGGCATTTGCAACTGTCCGTGTTGTCAACCTGTACAGGTCGGTGGCAATTTGAAGTGTCTCTGATGACAAGTGGTGACATACGGCTGGGTTGGAGTTGCAATGCCCGTGCCGGTGGTACCTATTTACTATCCTTTGTAAGTACATACAGGGTGGATTAGACACAGTGCGGAACAGGTTATTCTGCAGCCTCTTTTACGGGCAAAATACGGGCAAAACGAGAGAGCTTGGAAGCTCAGGGCCCTACGCTATGCTTTTTTGCCTTGATGACCTAGACAAAAAAAAAGCATAGGGACGTTATAAATTCTTATAAGTTTCTACTTTTTGTTTTTAGACATAACCTGGGATTCGAACCCGCACTATCGCCCTCCATGCATCCCCCGGTACACTTCGCATACATACTAATTCTTCCAAGTTGCTTCACGTTATGATCTTGTATTTGAAAGCCCTATTTGAATATGCATTGTGGCCAGCCGTCTTTGATTGTACGGTACGGTACGGGATAGGTACGGGACAGGTACGGGACAGGTATGGGACAGGTACGGTCGAGGGTAATACGACACCGTCTACCGCCTTGATGACGGCAAAAAAAGAAAAGGGATGTTATAAATTTTTCAATTCTCCTATTTTTTTCAGGCATTACCTGGGATTCGAACCCGCACTATCGCCCTACATGCATTCCCCCATACACTTCGCATTCATACTCATTCTTCCAAGTTGCTTCACGTTATGATCTTGTGTTTGAAAGCCCTATTTGAATATTGCGGCCAGCTGTATGTGGCCAGCTGTGTTTGATGGTACGGTACGGTACGGGACAGATACGGGATAGCGCCAGGCGTGACACAAACACACAAACAAACACCAAATTAAAGCTGTGTGGACCCTGGCTAGCGCCAGACGTTACTGAAGTAACGGCTTCTGCATAGCTACAGGAATAAATACACCATTCACGATTCCTGATGAGTGTTGTACGAAACTTGTTTGAATCCTAATTGTTTTCTCTACACTATTTTCATCGTTTTATTGCACATGGTCTCCACCGTTTTACATTGCATGAATAAAGTACACACAAATGTCGATTAGCTTGTCTTATTGATTGCGGCTATCAAATTATTGTCTCCTCGCCGTTTGTTTATTAAAAGAAACACAATGAATATTTTTCCGAAGTGTTCGACGAAACTTCAACTCAAAGTTCTAAAAACAAAAAAAGGCAAAAAAGGTAAAAAAAAAAAAAAAAAAGAAGAAGAAAAAAGAAGGCAAAACAAACCCACAAGTGAATAATCTGTACACATACCTACTTTATAGGTAATCAGCAGCAAGTTCAAGTAGTACTACTACTAGTCCAGTCAATACTGCTCATGCACAGGTGATCCTGTACTGGCTGTGTGTGTCCAGTACTCCAGAGTAACCCGAGATGCAGTAAGGATGATGTTCATTTTCTCTTTTCTGTCTCATCCCTGTGTGTGTGTGTGTGTGTGTGTGTGTGTGTGTGTGTGTGTGTGTGTGTGTGTGTGTGTGTGTGTGTGAGTGTGCGCGTGCGCGCGTGTGCGTGTGTGCATGTGTGTGTGTGTGGGTATACGTGTGTGTGTGTTTTGCGTGTTCATGCGGATGTGCGTGCGTGTGTGTTACTTGTAGCCTGACAAGGTGATGCACGAGACCTGTCACTATACTTACAGTGGCCGTCGGAAACTCAAGTTCTGTGGGGGACAGTGGAACTATGGCGTCGTAAGTCAAGACCTCTTGTCGTCCAGTTGTTGTCCCTCGTCAAGACTGTGCCCTTCTGCCCACTGTGCCCAGTCAGTGTGTTCTTTGTACCATTTGTCCATCTCATTGTGTTTGTGTGATGTCATTGGGTTTATGTTATGATAACATTGGGTTGTTGCTATGATGTCATCATGTTTATGTTATGTAATTGTGGTTATATTATGATGTCATTGTGTTTATGTTATGATGTCAGTCGTGTTACTGTTAGTGTAGCATGAAGGTAGGATGTTCGCACTGCGACTGTATTGTTGAACCTCGGCAAACACTTCTCACTCCCTCTCCTTATCCACCACCTCATTCTGCTGATCCTTCCTCCATACGATGATGGCTGCATTGGGCGCGCGCGTGTGTGTGTGTGTGCGTGCGCCGCGTGCGTGCGTGTGTGTGTGTGTGTGTGTTTCAGGAATGGCTGGACGGTGATGTTATTGGTTGTCTCATTGATATGGATGCAGGGACAGTCAGTTACTCACGGTCAGTACAACAACATGCCCATAACAGTGTTACTAGTAGCAGCACAAGCTAATGACATTGTGTGCAGTGGGTACATTTTTTATTTTATTTTTTATATTTTTTATGAAAGTGCACATGCCTACAACATAGTACATAGAATGGAAGAGAACAACAACAGCAACAGCTAGAGAACATAGGGGACTACAAAGGGTGTGCAGGTGCTATAAAGCTGTACATGCTACTGACTGATTGTTGACATTGTACTGACATTACTATGTAGGGGATAGTGTGCTGCGGTACACAGTCACACCACCTGCTGCAGTCAGTCCTCTTTCGGACAAACGCCAAGAGACCGATGGCATTTGTTTGTTCAATCAGGACCCCTGATTCATACTTCATACTCTTTATTCTCGATAAATAAATACACCGTGATTTGTCCTTTACGGGCATGTTTGTGTGTGTGTGTGTGTGTGTGTGTGTGTGTGTGTGTGTGTGTGTGTGTGCGTGTGTTTGTGTTTGTGCATGGGCTGGCAGCTACTTCAAGTAGTTCTATGACCGTAGTACGAATGTTATTGGAACTATAGTGGTTTGTACTGAATCTCACATTATCCATGATCATTGCACACGTCCTAGCTTTCTGAGCATGCTGTTAGCCTGGTCTGTGTGTTTGTGTGTGTGTGTGTGTGTTGTCTGTATAGAAATGGAGATGACCTTGGCATGGCGTTTGATTGCATCACGCGAGGAGCCAGCCACGCGTACATGCCCTACGTCAGCGCGCCAGCGGGAGAGAAATGCATCGTGAACTTCGGCGGCCGTCCACTGCGCTACCCGAGCGCCGGTTACAAGCCGTTGGTCGACGGTGTTCCGTCGCAGTTTGGCGGTGCGTCCACTCTCTTGGAGTGCCTTCATCGCCTGGCAGTGCTGGGTGCATCGCCGCCGTCGTCGTCGGCTGTGCCGGTTACCTCCTCGCTGCTAGCCACCGCCACCGCACAGATACAGGATTCTCTGGCCAAAGTCACTTTCATCGTTGGCCATCACCTGTTCGTGCCTTTCTTATCAGCTTACTTCCAGGTAAACACCTTCATCTTCTTCTTGCTGCATGTGACCATATGGCTCATTGAACTGCGTACTCGCGTCGCAGTTCACATCAAAGTTCTGCCTTTTGTTCTCCTGCTTTTCATCGCCTTTCAGAGAACCACTGAATTGGGGGGTTAGGTGATAGTTATGTGGTGAAGTGTCCACAGATTCTGTACTGGCAAAGCACGCTCTTGTATCCTTTTATGGTTTCTGTGTTGGAGCTGAGCTCATTCTCTTACACTTTCTCTGTCTCTTTGTCTCTTGTCTGTGTGTGTGTGTGTGTGTGTGTGTGTGTGTGTGTGTGTCTCTCTCTCTCTCTCTCTCTCTCTCTCTCTCTCTCTCTCTCTCTCTCTCTCTCTCTCTCTCTCTCTCTCTCTCTCTCTCTCTCTCTCTCTCTCTCTTTCTCTAACTATCTATCTCTTTCTCCATCTCTCTCCTGCACAGCGAGGTGTACATTCGTATCTGATACCCAGTCAGCTCATACCATTCTTGCTCCAGTTGGATGGGCCTGTAACAGCTGAGAACTCGCTGGCTCCACGACCCATTCTTGCACGGTTCTTGGAGATGATGTCATCCCTACTTGATGTAAATGTTTTCTGTGTGGCTGTGGTTATTTGTTGTAACTGCCCGTGCACTGAAATGCTTTGGGATTTGGAAGTTGGTGAATGCCATCATTGTGTTGTTACTGAAAGAGAAAAGTGAGTTCGTTTGTTTTACATGTGTTTGAAATGTATGTGTGTTCGTGGGTATGTGTTGTGTGCATGTGTGTTGTGTGTGTGTGTGTGTGTGTGTGTGTGTGTGTGTGTGTGTGTGTGTGCGCGCGCGCGTGTGTGCGCGCGCGCGTGTGTGTGTGTGTGTGTGTGTGTGTGTGTGTGTGTGTGTGTGTTGTGTGCATGTGTTGTGTGTGTGTGTGTGTGTGTGTGTGTGTGTGTGTTGTGTGCATGTGTTGTGTGTGTGTATGTGTGTGTGTGTGTGTGCGTGCGCGTGTGTGTGCGTGCGCGTGTGTGTGTGTGCATATGCGTGTGTGTGTGTGTGTGTGTGTGTGTGTGTGTGTGTGTGTGTGTACATGGTACATGGTGTATGTGTGTGCGTCCGTGCGTATGTGTTAATATGTGCACGTGTGTGCGTATGTGCATGTAAATTCACGCACAGGTTGAGCATCTTGCGATTCTCCTCAAGTACATCACTGAAGGGTTGCACTTGGTACACGGCTTCTCACCACTGTGCCTAGATTTACAACCACAGGTATGTACAATCAGTCATCTAGAACTCGTAGTGCAAGACCGGTATTGTGCCCGCGATTGCCCTGGTATCTTCTGTAGGAAATGATCCACGTGCGACGAACGGATTAGCCAATGCTGCTATTTGTATTTCGACAGAGTCCAGGGATACGCTCCATCTATTCTTTTGTGACCTGATTAGACTACATGTTGGACTACATGTTGGACTACATGTTGGACTACATGTTGGACTACATGTGAATGTACATGTACTTGTTGATGTCAGCGAACAGGAGCGCAGAGTCTTTGATCTTGACGTTGGTTTAGTACTTTCACCGGGTGTACACCTACATTCACTGGCATGCCTACATTGTAGTTGAAGTGGAGAATCCATGCACAGCTGAGTTACCTACTGTTCACAACAGTGTATAGCATGTAACTTTGGTGGTGTAGATTTTGGTGACTGGGACCTGCCAGGTTTCAGGTGTAATGTCGAATTAGGTGACCAGCGTTCCCTGCACATACAGTGCGTACCCTAGTGCCGTTTACACGTAGTCTAAATTTAGTTGCCTGGTTTCTCTACCGAAATTACACTGAAATTTAAGTTACACCGAAAATAACGTGTTATGTAGGAATGAGAGGAGCATATGATCAGAATCCAATATTCAGGGTCAACGGTTACCTGTATGTTGCATGTAAAGTGTAGTCTGAATTTAGTCTTGGAAAAATGTTGCCTTTTAGGCATTATGTTATTTTGTACTGGATGCTCTATGTACGTAGTCTGTAGAGGGCCTAAGTTTCGTTCTGCTCAACCTTTGCATGGACATTGAACATTAACATGTTCTTGTTGTGTATCTGCATGCATGTACAGTATCTTGGTGAGTTATTCATGTAGTCTGTGATGTGTTTTCTGATTTCCATGTGTTCTATGCATAGCTTTCCTATGCAGTCGTTCTCCTGGAGATGCTGCGCAATGCTCGCTGCCGCTCCCTCATCGTGACGGACACAAGATATCCTCTCCTAATGTGATCAGCTTTTCTGAACGCATTGCATTGTTTTGGGTCCACGTAGTAGCAACCCAGTGTCAGTGGCTCTGTGCGACGTTCTGCACGTGTTTGCTTGCTAGTCGGGCTCTTCACAATCTCAATGTGCCAAGCCGTCATAGATACGATTCAACTTTAATTGCGTTTGTTTTGGGTTTGTAGTTGGAGGCTGGGGTATACCATACAGTCCTACCGTGGCCATTTCGAGCACCTTGATATCCTAAACTGTTGTTCCATGGTGATGTAATGCTGGAGGACAATGTATATAGTCGAAGTGATTCCCCTTGACCAGCACTGTGTGTACGATTCGGTTTTCCGACTGGCTGGGATATGCCACGAATGGCTCCATCCCGGAGCCTGGTACACTGAAGGACATGATCCCAGTTGTGTGGTGGGAAGGCTGTCAAATCCAGGTGCGTCTTAGACTCTTACTGTTCTGGCACTAGCTCTAAATAGCCGGGTGGGAGCGGCTGAAGTTTCAACACTGAAGTAGGATATCTTCTTTCCTGTTCCTTCTCCATTCCTGTTCATCGCTGTTGATGTTTCACAATTTGCTTTTATGTGTTTTTTAATCCCTTTTATCTTGAGCCGTTTTCGATGGTCTTAGCCCTATTAAGTGTATGAATGCGTTTGTGAATGTGTGTGTCTATATACGTCTCCATGTTTGTGTGTGTGTGTGTGTGTGTGTGTGTGTGTGTGTGTGTGTGTGTGTGTGTGTGTGTGTGTGTGTGCGTGTGTGTGGGTGGGTGTGTGTGCACATGTGTGTGTGCACGCGCGCGCGCGTGTGTGTGTGGGTGTACGTGTGGGTGTATATGGTCCGGGGCGCGTTGTAGGATGAACAGCACAACAAGCAGGCGTATGAGCAGATCACAGCGAATCTTGTACGACAGTGTGCTGGTAGGTTGGGTATCTTTACCCTATCACTCTCTGCTACCTCTCTGCTACTATCTCTACTATTGTAATAGTGAAAGACATGTTAGGCTATCTACTAGTACACGCAGATGTTATGAATTGTGCTGGTTCTTGGATTGGTCTGAACGGTTTTGAAATTGTTTTGTGTCTGGGTTTTGTGTTGGGGTGGGCTGCCTCGAGTACTGTAAACTGTGTAAAGCGATGAACGTTCTCGGTGCGCAAGTGATGGTCACGAAAATAGTGAAATTTAATCTCTGGCGAAAGTTTCTCACTTTACGGTAGTTGAATATTACAGCAGCGGGGCATGGGATATGGCTGTTTGGTCATGCTTGCATTCCATGTAGGGTGTCGACCTTTCGAATCGCACCAGTATTACCTGTAATTGTTGAACCTTGGTTGTTTCTCAGTGATCTGTGCTTGTCACTGCTGTCACTCCCTGTTTCTCATGGTCTTTTTCTCATGCTCTCACTCCCTGTTTCTCATGGTCTTTTTCTCATGCTCTCTCTCTCTCTCTCTCTCTCTCTCTCTCTCTCTCTCTCTCTCTCTCTCTCTCTCTCTCTCTCTCTCTCTCTCTCTCTCTCTCTCTCTCTCTCTCTCTCTCTCTCTCTCTCTCTCTCTCTCTCTCTCTCTCTCTCTCTCTCTCTCTCTCTCTTGGTGTGATTGCAGTGCTGGACAAGGTTCATGAATCGATTTGCAAAGCACTGCTCCAGGACGAAGTGGAGGATGGAGACATGGTATGGGGCAAGAGGATTATGCATGTAAATGTTAATGAATACAACGACGATGGCTACGACAACAACAGCAACAACAGCAACAGCAACAACAACAGCAGCCGCAGCAGCAACAACAACGACAACAACAACAACAACAACACCAACAACAACACCAACACTGACAACAAGCAAACACCAACACAAACAAGCACACAAGCAAACATGGCAACAACCAGAGGTTGTGTTCTTTTTATCCTTTGTTCCCATTCAATGATCCTGCTTAGTAAGTGTTGCTATCTTTTAGGGTTGTGTGGCTCATTCTGCACCGGTGTATTCTGCTAGGGTTGTGTGGCTCATTCTGCATTGGCGTATTCTGCCCCTGTATGTTCTGATGGCGTGTGTGCAGACGTTCTTTGACGAATCATCCCAGATAGTTGTTGCACGAGAGCTGAGGCGGCAAGTTCGCATGCTACCTGCTAATCCCACTGCGGTAAGTGCTTTTCTTCGTCTGATTTTTCTTTTGCTCATTATCATGACTTTTTTGATAGCCATGTCTGTCAGGAGGGACTGGCAAAATTGGTGTATAAATGGAATTCAGAAGTTAGGGTGAGGCTGCTTGCCTTTCTTATAACTGGAATTGTCTTCGCTATGGTGGTGATGTGCAAGTGCTTTTAGGTCGGCTTAGAAGTCATTGTGGAGTGATGGTGCTGCTTTTAATTCTAATAGCTATCTTTTCAAATTTGTACAGTAAACCGTGTTGCGGTGCGACTTGGTCCCGCAACTAACCATCGTCAGGCAGACCACAAAAACCCAGAAACTCCTTTAATCGACATTACCACCCGTTTCCACAAGAACACCAAAGAACACACCGAACAACGATCGCCAAATCGCTGTCCTGAGCAAAACGTGCAGCGTGCGTGCATTCGGCTTGCGCTGCATGCATGCACACAACGACGTGGCATAGAGAGAAAATGCAGCGTACAGAAAATGCATGATTTATCGTAGCCATAGAGATACTAAATATGGCGACTACCAAACTCCAAAGTCCGCGTGCAGCGCGGAGTGCAGGCGCATGCAACGAAAAGAAAGCAATAATTTGAAATGCAGAAACAATGTGCTGGAGTGAAAGAATAAAGAATTGTTGATTACGGAGGTGAAAACAGTGTCTGTCAAGGGGTGCTTGCACCCAGCGACAGGGTGACAGCACACCCTGTCAGCGAGATCGAGAGTAAGTTTCGCCAAGTAGATCGTAGCGGAGTTGCCGCGGATGGCGATAATGCAACGGATCAAGTACTAGTAAGTACATGTACATTGCAACCAATTAGTGTGTCAACAATTCTACTTATATAATACATTAGAACAATTCACAAGATATTCCGCTCGTGAACATGTCGTGGTACGAACACGCATAGCAATTACTGTATAATAAAATGTGTCTCGACGTAGACGTAACAGATATGCACTCGTGATGTAATTCTAACAGACTAACAAATAAATATTACACTCGCGAAATACATAGCAGTAATACGCAACGCACCAGTATTGCAAGCGACCTAGCATGTCTTGACAATACTGCCCTTGCAGCATGTGACAGTTCTGTACACAATTCGTAACTACAATACACTAATAGTATCAACGTGCAACATGTGACAACATGAAAGGATAATGTTCAAGAGTGCAGTCTCCTGTCCAAACCGTGTAACTAAAGACCACCGTGACTAGCGACCAGCCTGGTACTACAGACCACTTCGCCAGGCACGGACGGTCTCACATTCATATATGGTTGTGTGGCGCAAACCTCTAACTAAGGACCACCTGCCACTAAAGACCACTTTCTCTGGCCCCAAGGGGTGGTCGTTAGTCACATGTTTTACTGTAGTTGGCTGCGTATGATTGCCTAGTCAGCCAGCCTGAGTCAAACAGAATACACCATGGGTGTCGTTTCTCCGCATGCACATTGAGACCAATGCACTCTGAATTTTCCTTAAAATGACAAACAAACAGAAGCTCACATCTTCCGTGTTGTTGAATTCAGTTCTATCCTGCTTCAAGTAACTAAAACGATTTAAAATTTTGTTCCCATGCACTGCAGGTATGGCAGTAGCTTAATGTTAGGTGAACATCTGTGTGTTTATATGTGTGTGTGTGTGTGCATGTGTTTTTGTGTCTGTGTCTGTGTCTGTCTGTCTGTTTGTCTGTGTTTGTGTAGGATGCTGCACTAGAAACGTCGGCCATCACTCTGCTTTCTGGTATGGCAGTGCCGATGGTCAAGGCTCTCTGTGAAGTCTGGGATGAGCTGGCAGCTGACTTTCCTGCTGCTCCCAAGTCGAAAGGCAAGTACAGTAAAATCTGTAACTACAGACCACCGTGACTAGCGACCAGCCTGGTACTACAGACCACTTCGCCAGGCACGGACGGTCTCACATTCACATATGGTTGTGTGGTGCAAACCTCTAACTAAGGACCACCTGCCACTAAAGACCGCATCTTCTGGCCCCAAGGGGTGGTCGTTAGTCACAGGTTTCACTGTACCCTCATGGTTTTGAAAGCTATTTTTGAGTGTATTCATGTACCATTCATGTACCATTCATGTACCATTCAGACGCATACTGTTTGCTACACTGAAGATATGTTACATTGCTTGGACGTACGTCTTCCTTGACGAAATAGTGCCCATGGCGCTTTATTGTTCTGGTGCAGAGAAACCAACCAATGTATCCCCCGTCGCTAGTGTTAACAACAATGCATTGAAACTGACAGCAGCACAATGTGTGTTGTAACTCGGATTTTCATGGTTCAACATCAATCATCAGATCTGATGATTGGTTTCGAACCATGGAAGTTCGAGTTAAAACACATTAAACGTTGCTTTCCTTTTTGTACATGTTGTGTTGCTGAGCCCTGTCCACCATAGGCATTGATCACCCTGGCTGATAAGGTGCACTGCTTATGTGAAGCTGACAGATATAACTTAGTGAATGGTCACTCAGCACAGTGAATGCTATTTCTGCACAGCAGATCAACTCTGTATATTTGTAATCTGGGGTACTGTACTACAAGTGTAGGCGAACATTGTCTCTTGCGAAGGATTATAGAGAAGTCATGTTCGTGCACCTGGGCATGGCAATACACATTTCGTAATGCTTCAGTTTTCATCCGTATCCCCACAACACCCTTTGCAGTCAAGAGTTAACCAGTATTTGATGATTCTGCTGTCCTTTCTTGTGTGTTTGTTGCTACAGATCTTTGCCTTGTAGACAGTCTGTTCTACTCCTTGTCAGGACATTGCAGTGAATATACTCGGTGGGTTTTCTCTCTTCTCTCTCTCTCTCTCTCTCTCTCTCTCTCTCTCTCTCTCTCTCTCTCTCTCTCTCTCTCTCTCTCTCTCTCTCTCTCTCTCTCTCTCTCTCTCTCTCTCTCTCTCTCTCTCTCTCTCTCTCTCTCTCTCTCTCTCTCTCTCTCTCTCTCTCTCTCTCTCTCTCTCTCTCTCTCTCTCTCCCTCTCTCCTCTCCCCCCCCCCCATCTCCTATCATCCTCGACGGTAACTTCTGTTGTGTCATATTGAGTGGCATGTTGTTAACCTTTGTCGCTGTACCTGTGTATTTGTATTGCAGCTTGGGTGGCTCCCTGGCTCACCTCAGCAAGGAATATGCAGGTAGGTGTACATGCTTACATTCAGCCATGCCTTACCATGTATACATTCGGCCACGCCTTGCCACGCATACATTCAGTACGGTGTGGAGTTCATACGAATGATGTCATCACACATGAACCGTTGTATTGAGCAGCAAACCAGTGCCTGTGCTGTCATTGTTTTGCCACTCTGTTCGAAACAATACGACTCTTTACTACAGAAGCAACCGGGTATAGCGTTATGTCTTGGCTATTCTCAATGTACCTGCACTTTACTGCAATTACACTCAAGAAAAGAACAAGCTTCAGGCTTTTCACAATCAACATCCTCAAAGCTCTTCCTGTTCCACTAGAACTTTCATTGCCTTCTCATGATGAAGAGAAGGCAACGAAAGTACATGTACAGTACTAGTGGAAGAGCTTTTCAAGATTATGATTGTGGGGCTCCTGAAGCTTGCTCTTTTTTGGCATATTATCGCATTTTTGTCTCCGAGAAAACTAAAGTACTTGGACCTAAGAATATGACCTGGGTGTGTGTGTGGTGGGGGGGGGGGGGGGTCTGATCACAATATTAAGGTGGATCAACCCCAAAGAGGGAGCAAAAATATTATGGTAAATCGATCTGAACTGTGTGTTTTCAGATGGCCAGACACCTAGAGAACTGGTCTGGGCTATTTCAAGGATAGGTCTAACGTTATTATGTGGTTCCCGAGCTATGGGGATGTTTTTGTACCTATGTTTTTTTGCAAAAACTAAATGATTTTTCACTAAATGTGTAAAATTCCAGCTGGTAGAACTTCAAAAATCCTGAAAGTGGGTATGGAGGGGCCTACAATAGTGTCTCCTGTGGGAAATGTTCACAACACATGGCCAGAGCACTGTGAGAGGCCAAGGTAGCCCCGAATGTGATTTTGGCAAAACGTGTATTTCAGCAGACCGCTTTAGATTTGTTCGAATAGTGGAGAATCGAGACAATAACATATGGATCGAGCAGATCATACCCATTCTCACGCCTCCGGCGGTACAGTGCCAGTGTCTGGGCAGATAACTGCGGCATGGCACGACTGGGAGTTGTTGGTACTGGGGGTGAGGCAGCAGCTTCTGCAGCTGCTGCTGAACCACTGGCGTGGTCTAGAGTGGTCTGTGAAACAGTGTTGCTGCTGTTGGGCCTTTCAGACCCTAGATGATCTGCTATGCGTTTCGCAATAGCAGAACTCTTTGTGGCTCTCATACGCCCATTGCCGTCCTTTTCCTGCAGTAAAGTCTGGATGCCAGTTCCCCGATTCCTGTCAAATGCCAGCATCAGATGACTGTACCTGTGGGCAAGAACTATACAGAATATTTTTGTAACATGGGAAATTGTGGGCACAATTTATGCGATTGAGTCCACCAACTAAACCAGATTTTGAACAGTCAGACGTGCACAATCTAGCACAAAACTGACAGGGAAAAAACTGACAGTTCAAAATCTGGTTTAGTTGGTGGACTCGATCGCATAACTTGTGCCCACAATTTCCCATGTTACAAAAATGTATCCTTGGCTCACCATCTGAGTTATAAAGAACATGTAACTTAAAGTCAGCTGCAAACACTCATGTCACAGGAAACGCTCACCGCAGCTCGATTGTACCGGGTAGAAATGGACCCGTTATCAAAGGCACTGTTACTGAGTGTGACATGAATACCGTAGAATCCCGCGGATAAGCCCACCCGCGTATAAGCCCATGCCCGCGCATAAGCCCAGGGTTTGTTCGAACATCACAAAGCTTCATCGTACCAGCCCATGGGCCTAGGTCATACCGAGAGTCCACAAATTATGGATTCTTGGCCATACCATGTATGTAGTACATGCACATTAGTTTTTTTTCGTACATTTCAGCACAATCATCGGTTGTTTTTTGTTTGCACAGTGGTTTTCAGCAATGTACTTCTCACTTCCTTGATACTTTTCAATAGCACGACTTGGTGTCGGCGTATAAGCCCATGCCCGCGTATAAGCCCATGTTCTCGTATAAGCCCACCGAAATGTCCTTGTGAAACAGATAAGCCCATGGGCTTATCCGCTGGATTCTACGGTACTTTCCACATGAATCAACCCGTGGAAGATGTTAGCTACCTAGCTGTCACAGTTTCATGCGGATGCGTAATAGAAGTGAACATCATCAACCGTATGCTCAGTTTCTTTCTGCACATACATCATCAACCGTATGCACAGTTTCTTTCTGCACATACATCATCAACCGTATGCTCAGTTTCTTTCTGCACATACCTGATACCGGAATTGGCTATTTTCTTTGCCATGTGATCTGAAAGTGCAGGTTTTGCGAAACCGTGAGCGGAGCTCAGCATATACACCTGTACACAACCAAGGCACACACAGCCAGCTTGGCTAAAAGAATGCTAGCATGGACCGTGATATCATACGTGTACATTATCATTAGTTGAAGTTGAGGGATATTTCACGTACAAGACTACATGTACATATATGTACGTAGTGAATGAATGGACCGTTGCCTTGCTGCGCGACTCATAAAAATGATTGTATCCACTGGATACACATAGCAAACATACCTTTACTGGCTTCGAACGCAGCAAGCACAGACATTGCCGACCCGACGTGTATGCTGTGCAAGAATAACTCTCTCCGGGATTGTCTTCCCCACCAATTTTCGAGGACGTCGACATCTGCATCGGCACTGTGGGCGGCATAGTCCTCCTTCAGAATGTCCTTGGCCAGATCCTCTAGCTTGTATGACTTCCTTCCAGGGAGGACCTGCTTCAAGGCTAGCAGAGAATCAGCAAAGCCAGCAATTGCTGCAACAAGCTGCTGTACGTACGACTGCCCAGCACGCTTCACCTCACCCAACAACACACGCATATCAAACGACATGCAGTTGTGTGCAATAAGAACCGGTTTCGAACCACCAGTGGACTGTAGCCAAGGGATGAAACGCTCAATGGCAGCAGGTAGCGAGAGCGACGGCAGAACTTCGCCAGCCTTTACCAACACACACTTGCCACCGACAGTAGAGACGGACACGCCTGTGACATCTGATGCACCAGAGGACATCGACCCTTCTGGCAATACATACTCAGAAAAGACCAAAAATGCTCGAAGTACGTTCATCACTGCCGTTCAGATCAGAAGACAACAAACTCATTTCTCATCACAGAAATATGCCAATTCTGATGTTGAAAGAACGACTGACCCCATGCCTACATCAGCAGAATAACCACTTCAATAATCATGTCAGAGCCTACCACGCTGTCCCTTTTCGAGGCGATTTATCAAGCTTTTTACAGAAAAAATAATAAGACACCCATTTTGATAGTCCAGGGGATGGCCCACGCCTGGTAAAAAGAATGAAGTTGTGGAAAAACCACGGAGTAGTAAAATACCTACGTACCGGGAAAATAAAAAAGGGGAAATATGCGGACATGGGGGTCGCGCGCAAAGAGTTATAAGTTATAAGAGTTAATAATATGTGAGCAGGAAAGAACTACACTCGTACAACGACGGCCTCAGCATTAACGAGAGAGGCAGGGCAGTCCACCGGTGCACGCGAGGGGAAGAGGGAGCTACTCCCACGGATGCACATGACGCTAGTACGCACAAGGGTAAAGCTAAGGCGGCAGCGGATAAAGGCCATGATCCCTTACTTGCAAACAGTTGGAACGGAAGCTGCAAGCTGGATGATTTCTGCATCGTCTCCGAAGCCGTTGTTTCCAGGTCAAAGTACACAAAAGTGTACCGGTACTTCTCTTCTGATAACAGCTTGGCAGGAGTGACTGGACCAGCGATTTCATCCACGTCTGGCTCGGCAAGAAGGGAGGACTTGGATTGGTACAACGTACCTTCCCTCAATTCCTGAGAGGCACCCTACTGACTGCGCAGCTCCTTCAGCTCCAGTCTTCGCCTCTTTACGGTCTTGCCCGACTTGCGAAGTGTGGCCTTTGCTCGCCGGGTATCGAGCTTGACCCCGTGCGCCTGCGCATGTGAGCTCTGGGACATACCGACCTGCTCCATGACCTTGCCCTTGGACACACAAGAGGTACACAAATGGCAGCAAAATAGGGCTGTTTCGTTGTTACTCAGAGTTTCACTTCTCCCCTCTGTAGAATGTGATCTGTGATGCGGTACTTTTTTTGTTAAAGGTGTTGAAATGCTGATGCCCGTCTCGATACTCCTGTGCTGTACACGAAGGCACACAATGAAAACCTTGGGCAAATTCCGTTCAACGGAATATGCCAAGATTTTCATTGTGTGCCTTTGTGTACGCCGCTCTGCCTGAATCAGGTATTGAGCACTTTCGCAGAACCTAAGCATACTGCCTCTGTCCTGTGCTGTATAGTATGTACGCTGTAATATTAGGTCAATACGCGGTCAATACCGACTCAATTGGAATATGATATGTGTGTGTGCTGCGACCATGTAGAGGCTCTTGAGGAGGATGCCGAGACGTTTGGTGAAGAGGAAGAAGAGCTATGTGAGTAGTGTCTGTTTAATCTATTCTGCTGGCAATTGTCGAATGCCATTGTGCCAACTCTTATGGCATGGGTGTGTGCATGTGTGTACTTGTGTGGGTGCCCACGCACATGTGTGTGTGTGTGTGTGTGTGTGTGTGTGTGTGTGTGTGTGTGTTGGCTGGGACACAGCATTCCGTGTACTGGCCTTTTTGGCTATCAGTTCATCTTGCCTTCAGTATGTGCGTCGATCTGTGTCAACTCATTTATCGGTATGCTTGTTCATACTTCTCTGTCTTCCTGCCATGCAGCTGAGTTTGCCACGCTGATAAGTCTGGCCGACACCATTCTGCTAATCTTTCACAACTGGTCATGTAAAGATCTGATTCTGGTGAGAGTTTAGGGTCATATTGTTGTGTGTAGTGCACTGTGGATCCCGTTATTTTGGCTTGGCAGTGTGTAAGTAGTGGGTTGCGGGGGCAGTGGGAAGAGAACACGGAAGCCTCTGCATAAAGTTGTGCAGCGTCGTCGCACCAGTTAGGCGGGAACATTTATTTCCTCCTGGATATAGAGCTAGTATCATTGTACATTGCAGTTGCCCTGTTGCACTGATCTCTTATATTGGCGTACTATACTTTATAACTGGAAAGTCTAACGAGTCACAAAGTCTAACGTTTCAACGACCAATTATTTTTTGTTATTTGAAAAAAAAACACGTTTATCGCTAGATGTCTGTGTAAAGATGCGCATACAGATGGGTGGCCAGGTAGCCATCGTTAAACTTTCTGCACGTTATCATGCCAAAATTACAAAAAACGTTAAACTTTTTGGTCGTTAAACTTTCCGGTTTTACAGTATGCCGCACTGTGCTAAGCAGCATGGCCAATCTTTCTACAATGCAGTCCTGGATGCATAGCAGCACCAGTCTGGTAGGACCAAATCCACTCCTGCTGCTTCTGATTACGTGTTGGTAATGCTGATGATGATGAGCTGCTGCTCGCTGTGTTCTTTTCTTCTTGTATGTGGCAGTGCTCGCAATGCTTCCATCAAATCAAGGAGTTGAACTCCTCCATGGAGACATTCAGAGAGTTACGTGAAAAGGCTGGTGACAGTGAGAATTTTGAGGTTAGTGTGCTGGCACTCTTGTGTGCATTTTTGTAAAGACAAGTTGATCACATCTTCTCGTTTCACCTCCATCAACCTAATAAGCAAGTGTATCAGTACTTCAAAGTACAAGACATTGTATTCTTGATGGTTATTAGGTTGGCGAGTGCTTGTGAGCATGTGTGTATGCTGTGGGCGATTGAGTTGATTACCTGATCCGCTAACTCGATTCATCGGACAGAGTAGTGACCAGGAGATTCACACACGCTACATTTCATCAGCTGTAGTGACTGCTGTAGCGATGGCTGCAGTGACAGCTTAGCTGCATTGAAACTTGTGTATTTTGACACGGTTGTTTGGATTGCTGTCGTGATAGCATAGCTGGACTAAAGCCTGTGTCTTTTGACTCGCTTGCTCATGTAACATTCCGTTTCTCTGACTATGTCTGTGCCTATTGTGTGTTTTCTGTGTATGTGGACGTGTACATGTGCGTGTATGTGTACGTATGTGTATGACATTGTGTACATGTGCGTGTATGTGTACGTGTATGTGTACTCTGTACAGGGTGAGACACTGACATGTGTTGATACCTACCTGCAACAGACACAGTCTGAGTTAGAACGCCATTCTAGAACAATGGCATGCTTGAGAGCGTCCACATTCTCAAAGGTATGATGACTACCACACCTGCTATCAGTATCAGTCTCTGGCTGAGGATGGTTTGTCTGTGATCTTTGTTCTGCTGCTTTTGGTTTGATGGCGTTTTTAGGTTTGCGTAATGAAGTATGTGTGTACGTGTGTGTGTGTGTGTGTGTGTGTGCGTGTGCGTGTGTGTGTGTGTGTGTATGTGTGTGTGTGTGTGTGTGTGTGTGTGTGTGTGTGTGTGGTGCGTGTGTGTGTATGCATGTGCGTGCGTGCGTACGCGTGTATGTGTGTTCACATGCACATACATTGTGCCCACTCATACAGGACATGTGCGATGTCTTAGCATGGGCGTGTCACGTGACCATGTCCGTCACTGCACGCTTTCTGGACAAGAATGAGCTGTTCGGGTTTCTGCCAGAGCATTATGTACGCGTCATGTTTGACATGTTCTTCTGCCTGCGCGTTGTCCATCATATTGTCCATGACTTCTTCGAAAGGGAAGGTAAGGATCGCCGGTCTGGTCTTGCTATACTGTAGTCTTACTGACACCCATTCAGTTCTTTATGTAACCATGGCTTATGCCTGTGATCGTATCGTGTGTGGACCTGTATTATGCAATGGAAATCACGTCAGCCAAATCTATTTGCAATTTTCCACCTGCCGCTTGCTGTCTGACGTATTTGCTTGGCTTTTGTGCCGATCCTTTGGTGCGCTATGCAACTCCGATGCACATTCTTTTAGCATCTTCCCTCAGTGAATTGCCGTACGCCCGGCTTTATCTGTGGGTGTGTGTGTTTTGTACATGTCTGTGTGTGTGTGTGTGTACGTGTATTCACGTGTGTTTTGTACATGTGTGTCTGTGTGTCTGTGCTTGTATAATACGTGTGTGTGTGTGTATGCCCATATCAGACGCTGACAGTCTAGTCAAGCAGCTGGCTCAGCTAATATGTAGAGTAGTGCCGAGCAAACACGTTGTTCTGCCGGGTAAGTGCCAACATTTGCCTTCTCCTACATGACAGGAATCTCCTGTTGCCCGCCTGCGTCTTTACAGTACGTGTTTAGAACTTCCAGTACACAGTGGCATGGGGATACATGTACAATCTAAACAGGCAGCATTTCCCAAGGCGGGATACATGTACAATCTAAACAGGCAGCATTTCCCAAGGCGGGATACATATACAATCTAAACAGACAGCATTTCCCAAGGCGGGATACATGTACAATCTAAACAGACAGCATTTCCCAAGGCGGGATACATGTACAATCTAAACAGACAGCATTTCCCAAGGCGGGATACATGTACAATCTAAACAGACAGCATTTCCCAAGGCGGGATACATGTACAATCTAAACAGACAGCATTTCCCAAGGCTTTCTGCGTTCAGTGCTCACAGTACGGGTGGTGTCCTGATAAATCGATTATACATGTATTTGATGGACTCAGATGGAGAGTATAGCGTGGACAGAGAGTGGACAGTATAGCGTAACCTGTAGTTCCTTGGTCTTTTTCTTTTCTATAGATTATATTTTAATTCCAACATACCGTTCGTTCAATTAGAGATTTGTTCCAGGACTGATTTCAGTCAATACTATTCTGAAAGCCATGAAACTTTGTGTGTTATTTTAAGAATTACGCTTGTTCACAATGAGAAAGTGTCGCGGTTTCATCTGTTCAGTAGGATCGTGTGTTGTACAAAATCAGTGCCCGGAGCAGTTTGAGGCAACTTAAATTTGCAACGGTCACGGATATTATTATTATACGCATTCCCGCGTTGAAGTGTAGCAGCAGTATGCTGCGTCCACAGCTTCGCTTATGCAGAATGGCTTGGGTGAGAGGAGAGGGGAGAGAAAGCAACAAGGCAACCAACATCTATGAAATTGGCCACAATAACATGAAGAGAACCAACCATTACCTACATATGCATGATTGCACAAGAATGGGGACGACAAAATATAATGGCTATATAAATCATTGTGCCACAAAACCGGTACACAGGAGATCTGTCGACAATGTAACGAAACATAAAACTCAGTTACTCAATACAGGTTCCACTAAATTACAAGAGAACAACGCTACAACGTTAGAATTGCTGCTAAATTATCGCAAGTGTAGAGAACGAGTCAAATGAAAACCATGAACAGACTGTCCCG